AGGGTCCTGGGTTCAATTCCAGTCAAGGGCATATGCCTGGGTTGCGGGCTCAATCCCCACTAGGGGGTTTGCAGGAGGCAGCCAATCAATGAGTCCCTCTCATCATTGATATTTCTATCTCTCTCTCTCCTCCCCTTCTTCTCTGAAATCAATAAAAATATATTTTAAATAAATAAAATAAATGCTTATCTGGATACAGCTTGTGTGGTGTTCCAAAGGTGTTAGTGTGCTGTTTTCTAGAGTGTCTGGCTATAATTTCCCAGCGAGTCTTCATTTTGTTAGAAGAAGCATTATATAAAGATTTGGTGCCGTAACCGGTTTGGCTCAGTGGATAGAGCATCGGCCTGCGGACTGAAGGGTCCCGGATTCGATTCCGGTCAAGGGCATGTACCTTGGTTGCGGGCACATCCCCAGTCAGGGGTGTGTAGGAGGCAGCTGATCCATGTTTCTCTCTCATCGATGTTTCTGACTCTCTATCCCTCTCCCTTCCTCTCTGTAAAAAATCAATAAAACATATTTTTTTAAAAAGATTTTAAAAAAAGATTTGGTAATTAATTTTCAGGTGACAGAGATTCATTAGTCACATTTTACCCTGGCCGGCATTGCTCAGGGGTTAGAGCGTAGGCTTGCTCACCAGGGAATTGTGGGTTTGATTCCAGGTCAAGGGCAGGTACCTAGGTTGCAAGTTCGATCCCTGGCCCTGGTTGGGGTACCTGTGGAAGGCAACCAATCTCTCTCTGAAAATCAATGGAAAAAATATCCTCGGGTGAGGATTAACAACAACAACAAAAGATTAGTCACATTTAAATTTGTATTTCTAATTTTATTTGCTCAATATCAAGAGAAGTGCCTTATAAAATTCCTGCTTAAATATTTTAAGGTATTATTTGAGGTCAAATAATTCTTAAATGTTTCATAGACATTAAAAAGAGTATGTTTCAGTTAATGGACATGGGATTTTTATATATCTATTAGTGAAGTTTTTATTGCATGAGTCATTTTTTGCTATGTTCTTGTTTATTTTTTGTTTATGTTTCATTGTTTTCAGAGACTTTCTTCTATTATAAGCTTTAGTTACCCTAGCAAAAATAGTCTGTTTTCTACTTAGAATTCTTCAGGTCACCCTCCAAATTATCTCACTCTTTTTTTTCCTTCCAATACTCTTGACTTTTAGGCTGCGGGGAGGCAGCGGGGAAGAGTACTACAGAATAGCATCATAACAGTGGTCTGTGAGACTGTCTTATTCCAGTTTCTTCACTCCGTAATAGTTAGTTTTTCCTTCAATTTACATATAAAACCTGCTACAAGCTTCTTTACTGCCCTCTTCTGATCAATGCTATAGGATATAGAATATTCCTGTGTAGATACAAAGCAGGTCATATTGTGTCTTCTTTAACACAGACCATTTCCTTTAAAGGGACTATGCCACTTTCCTTAGATCATGACATTTATAATATATTAAAACAATTTAGTAATGATTTTTTATTTGGTAATCATTGCATTTCTTGCTGTTAATAAAAATCCAACCATGCTTAATTGAGATGAAATTTTAAAATATTATTATATTATTAATAATAATCACAAAAAACTGACATTCTCAGATAAAATCATATCAAACCAAATTCTGAAACCTCTTAAAAATATTAAAAAGCAATTATAAAACCAAGTCTTTCCATCTGCAGATTATAAATGATCCGCTAGCCTCAGACTTTCCATGCAGACTTGTTAGAACTTTTTGGCTCCAACTTTTATTGACCTACAAGGTCACTACAATTTGGGTCCAGTAAGTGATGTCAGAATCTGAAACAGCTTCTGTTTCATCTAAGGTAAAGAATTTAAACTGATCATAATGAGGTATGACAACCATATTTGACTAATCTACAAAGAAGAATGTGTCATTGCAATAGTAATGGCACAAGCCACCCAATTAATAAATAGAAAATTGGACAGCTAGCTTTGGAAGTTTTCCAAGAGATAAAGTACTCCTGGTTCTTTGCTTCAAAGGCAAGGCAGACCAAACCTCTTTAACTCCCTTGGGTAGAGAAAATTTTGATTTTCTGTTCTTAAATTTTATATATCAAAACCTATTCCATAATAGAGGCAGAACTACAGGACTGAGGAACTCAAATTTTATATGAAAATTATAAGTCTCATAATCTGTGATGGTCATCATAAAATTTTTTTAAAAATACAATTTTTATTGATTTCAGAGAGGAAGGGAGAAAGATAGAAACATCAATGATGAGAGAAAATCATTGATTAATTGTCTTTTGCATGCCCCATACTGAGGATTGGGCCTGCAACCTGGGCATGTGCCCTGACCGGAATTGAACCATGACCTCCTGGTTTAGCCGTGGGCAAACTACGGCCCGCAGGCCAGATCTAGCCCGTTTGAAATGAATAAAACTATTGAAAAAAAAGACCGTACCCTTTTATGTAATGATGTTTACTTTGAATTTATATTAGTTCACACAAACACTCCATCCGTGCTTTTGTTCCAGCCCTCCGGTCCAGTTTAAGAACCCATTGTGGCCCTAGATTCAAAAAGTTTGCCCACCCCTGTCCTGGTTCATAGGTCAACACTCAACCACAGGCCACAATGGCCAGGCCGTCATGAAATTTGAGGGCGCTCTTTTGGTGTTTTCTCTGCCTGTAAACAATAATGGAAATATTATAACCTTGCAATCTATAAAATGGTTTCAGTTATAACTTGCTTGATTCTTACAACAGTCTCTGCTTCATAGTGAGGGAAATTTAAGTCCTGAAATGTCAAACAGTACATTCCTGATAGAGCTAGTAAACTCCCACAGGTCTAATTGCAAGTCAGTCTCTTACTCTTGTCACTGCCAACATGGCAAACAGTGCACCTCTGTTCCTATATGGTAACTGAAACAGAGACAATAGGGAATGAAGCCATGGCAACCAATTTAACCTTTGCGTGAGCTCATTCATTTCTTTCAATGCCTCACCTAGTTTTAGGAGAAAATGGAGCCAACGGATTTCACATTAAAAGATCCCTTGAAGAACTAAATAATCAATCAGATGCTTCCTCCCCATTAGACTGGAGAGTGCTGGGGAAGAGTATGGAATTATCTCCTAATTATAACCCTGTGCTAAACTCATTCACAATTGTGGAGGGAGCCTTACTCGCCTTGTTCTATCTGAAAACAACACCACAAAGTCCTATTTGGTTGAAAAATTAGGTCATCTGATGCCAAATTACTTTTCCTACAGCACTTCTTGTTTTCTACTGGAGCACCTTTCAATTCTAGTTCCTCAATCACATCCTCAAATACCATTTTAATATAGAAAACATAACAAAACACAGGACAACGAAACTGTTCCCCAAGCCTATTAATATTGTGTGGCCTATTTACCTCTGTTCCATTGTGTCAAAATCCTGAATTTCACCAAGAAGGAAAGATGGATTGCTTTTGTTTTCTAGTCTCTAGAAGAGGAGTTGAGATGTCAGTTGAAAAGTACCTCTCTCCATCACCAGGGGAAGCTAATCAAGGAAAAATGTCTGTGGGTAGTAGATACATTAATCTCCCCCTGGATCACGGGGCTGTTATGAGGTGTAACTAATCGTATCGTTGGGACTCATCTCGCTCTGTAATAACATGCTCCACAGTGGCATGAGTGGTTGCAGGAGATGGATGTTGCATGTAAAGGAAAAAGTACTGTTCAGCTGGAATATCTGTCTGCGAACCTGTGCCTGGTGCTGTGACAGTCTGCACTGAATGCAGCTACTGTGTTTCCACAATAACACGTTTGCCATATCCTGTCATCGGCATGTTTCTGAAACTGTCTCAAGCCATCATCATGGGGCGATTTCTGATCCAAAGGTTGTTATAACAACTTAGTTCTCAAAAATGACCTCTGTCAAGGTGTCTGCTCAAGTCCACTTTTGTGCTGAGTCCAGATGCTCAGAAAATTTCTTTTTAAGAGAATCCTAAAGTATTTCAGTGACAAGGTTAATTCAGATCTTTCACAACTTCTGATTTCCAGAACAACTTCTTCCCACATTTTCTGGGCGGAAGAAGAGCACTGTGATCTCTTGCTACATGTTAAGTGCCAGTCACTTATCCACCAGCAGGTAATTGGTGGAGTGGAAAGCACCAGAATGGACCGGTCAGAAGGCCTCACTGGCACCGATTCCATGACTGGCAGGAACAGAATGTTTCTGGGCTTCCAAGAAAGGGTTGACACTCGTTTAGGTTCCTTCCTCCTTTAAAATTGTATGACTTTTTTTTAAGTTATTTATTCAAAACCTTTTTTTATGCTGCTGTCTATGAAATTAGAAAATCTTTAAGAGGCAAACATTGAGGTAATTTTTAACTTAATTTTGCATTTTAAATTTTAAAATAATTTTAAAGTATTTTAATTTAAAAAGTTAAATATTTTAATGTAAAGTATAATTTAGATTATTTTATTTCAAAAGGAAAATAACAGGAAAACCAATGAAGTACATGTTAGAAGAAGGGGTCAGATGCATGCAATATTTACTGACACTGAGACCCAGAATTTACACAGAATTTCCTGGTAGCAAAAGCAAAAGGGAAAATAATGGACTATATTTCTACTGTCTCATTTTATTTCAAAGGAACTGCATACATTTTTTCTAGAGAAATAAGCATTTTCTGGAAATAAATACTTCTTGACTGACCTATACCCTGGTGTCAATTGAAACATTTTGAAAAGGGACACTGATACGTGCTAGAGACACACTATTTAGTAAGAAACAAGCCGTCCTGTATTAAGCAGTTTGTACATCTATCAGACCAACGCCAAGAGCAGTTACACATCTGCCTTTGCTATGCTTTCCCTTTTCTCAGTGGTGAAGACTATTGCCGTATGTTTAATCAATGACTCTAATTTTATTTTTCAGAATGAAAAATCCCCAGGACGATCTGCAAGTCGATCGAGTAATATCTCAAAAGTAGGTGAACTTTATTTTCTTAATTGTTTATTGACGTCCATATTTATAATGTTTTACCTATAATTGTTATCGGTGAACAATACATGAATATGGCTTGTGAATGATTTTAACTATTTCAAGCTTTTACTGTGTTAAAAGGCATGGTTTTACACAACAAAATGAGGTAAGCTATTGTTTTCCTCTTCAGTGCTGTATGCAAAAGATCATTTGCTACTTTCAGAGTGTCATACAAAGTATCTCTTTTCCCTCGTGTTTCAAGCATTATAGAGCTGCCACATACCCACGTTGAAACTATATCAACATTCATGGTACGATTTCCATGAATTCAACGTTTCAGGAGTTTGGGTTCAATGATGCTAGAACTTAACTATTCTTGTCACCAGGGCAGGTTTTATAAATTAATTTAAGACATTAGTTTGATTCTATTTACTTAAGAGTCAACAGATGAAAGAAAAAAATACCCCCTAGGTTTATCTATAACTCTGACCAAGACACAAGAGTGTTGAAAACATTTTGGCATGGGAGAGATACTATAGATTTTTATTTTTCCCCGGCAACAAAAATTAAGAGCTATTTTCTAAAATGAGGCACTATGCGATGTGTAGGCTTGCTGCTTTGGGAAGTAAAAAGTCATTTGGAGCCATTTGTCAAATTGGAAATTTATGACTTCCAAAAATAAAGTTCAGACAGAGATGGATTGACCATGAATAAAACTTATATTACAGGACCCCTCACTTGCCAGCACCCTTCTGCAGCCTTGAACTTAATTTTGTATATGCAATTTTTATGTTTTGCCTTCAAGAGGGACCCCAAAATAGTAATAAACTTTAGGCACCATGGAACCTAAACCTACTTCCAATTTAAGGACATTTTTTAAATTTTGGGTTGTTTTTGGCAACAAAGGACTTTATTACCCATTGAAAAATAGCAGTAGCCAGACTGTCAGCTATTTTCTTGAGCTGGTTTCCCAAGATCAGTTCTTCTGAGACGATGCCAAGATGGTCAGGTGACACCTGCAGGCACACTGAGTTGATGGGGGGGGATGCAGAATCCTGAGTGTAGGAATCCCTAATATTTTTAATAGGTAGTAAGCATGCCTGTCCATTGCTCGATAGGGAGATTATATCTCTACTAGAGGCCCAGTGCATGACATTTGTGCACTGGGGGCAGGGGGCAGTTCCTGCGCCCTTTAGCAGTCCGGGAGCCCTCAGGTGGGGAGTGGGCCTAAGCCAGTTGGACATCCTTAACACTGCCTTGGAGGCAGGCCACTGTGGTTGCCAGCCATCAGCCCAGCTTCTGGCTGAGTGGCACTCCCGCTGTGGGAGCGAACTGACCACGAGGGGGCAGCTCCTGCATTGAGTGTCTGCCCCTTGGTGGTCAGTGCGCATCATAACAACCAGTTGTTCCTCCATTCAGTCAATTTGCATATTACCCTTTTATTATATAGTATGCTGCAATGCTAGCCACTATGCAAACATCCTTAAGAAGATATCCCAGAACAAAAGCAATCAATGGGTCTTCTTGTAAGAAGATGTAAGAGACACGTGGAGAATTGTAGCTCACTACATGGTACTGAACATGTCTGTTACACTCAAATCTAGGTACCTTGATAGATATTTGAGAGGCCATGTGGCTTAGGGTTAAGAGTACTAACTCTAGAGAGAGAGGATCTGAGTGCAACTTGCTGCTTACTTGGATTTTTTACCCCCTTGATAGATATTTGAGAGGCCATGTGGCTTAGTGGTTAAGAATACTAACTCTGAAAAAAAAAAAAAAGAATACTAACTCTGGAGAGAGAGGATCTGAGTGCAACTTACTGCTTACCTGGACTTTTTACTTATGTAACCCTGAGAATATCTGCATTTCCAAACTGCAGTTTGAGTTTGACATAGTGCAGCTGGTTTATTACATTTTAGACTTTTAATTTGTTCTGTAAGAAGTAAAAAAATAAAAATGTCAGGAGTACGGTTTCCTTTCTGTGAGTTCTTCCAGGCTCTGCTATGTATTAATTGTGTCATTGCGTGGGAGGCAATTAATGATAAAAGTGCATGCTATTCAGAGAGAAATGAAAAGCTCTCTTCTTAAACAGTCACTCTAATTGTACAATAGCAAAAGTCAACTATCTCACACCTGTAGGGATAAAAAGATTTCAGTGTGCATATCTATTTTTTTCTTTAAACCAATATAACTTCCCTTTTATTTGTGTTCAGAATAGTCACAAATGCTAAATACATTGTTGAGTCCTCGCTACTTTTTTATGAATCCCTAAATGATAAATTGTTCAATAAAACCATATAACTTACCAAGTATGAAATGAGAAAATCTAGCAATATTGTAGCCCTTTTATTTTAAAGTGGGGGAGAAGAAAACATTAAAAAGGAACAAGAGTATTTTTTCTCTAATTTTGTCAAAATAATATTTTATGTAAAAATATATTTTTTATGTGAAACAAAAGACTGTGAGTCTTTCAAGGATGTGATAATCATTATAACAGAGTAATTAAGAGCGTATTTTCCAGAGTAACTGCTCGGGAGGGTGAACTTCCTTAGTAACTTTGTCTGTAAAAGACAAATATATAGCAGTATCTAACTCTTGAAGTGATGCTTAGAACACTGGCTCTGTGTATTAGCTATTCTTATTATGGGGCTCATAATATTTATATTTCAGTAACAGTAAGTGCTCAGTGAGTCTTTTTGTAAGCAAATAAATTGGAGACATGTGTTATATGTATTGTGTTCTGAGTGGAATAAGAATAATTGAGACTTGATAGGATTAAAATATCAGTGATCTGACAGAATTTTATTGAACAAAATTGCATAGTCCTGCTTTCTTAAAAAGTACATATATAAAAATATTATATATAAAAATATATATAGTAAATTATCTGAGGACAGTAGCAATATTATTCATAATGGTATCCCTTATCTTTTATCAAGTTTGTTCCATCCCCTATTCTTTGATATGGGAAAATCATAGTTAATATAGGGGACTCCATTCAGAATGGGATAGCAGAAATGCCCTCCACCCACCCTGTTGAGTTTTTTTCCTACCTATTTTTTTCTGTTTCTTCCTGAACCAGCAGACCTTCTAATCACCAGTACTTGTGGAATGTCTCCCATCCGGCAGGAGTCTTATTCCATACTGCTGGAATTGATGGAGTAAGAAAAAAATCTTCCAAGTCCTCAGTGATCTTACAATAAAGGATATATATATCTTAACTGTATGACTTCCTATGCAGAAAATATGACAGAGCAGCCTGAGACTCTGAATTTTAGAAGAAGACCTGCTGGCGGGTTGGTCCTTAGCTGGCATCTGAGAACTTGGCGTCAGAAATAAAGAACCATCTTGATGGAAAAAAATGGTTCACTGTGCCTAAACAATGCAAACTATGTGATTTGTCCTAAATACTTGCTTTCCTAGAAGAGTCTAGAATTTGTAGGTACCTACATGACCAAACCCCAATAAAAACTTCAGTCATTGAGCCTCCAGTGAGTTTACCTGGTAGATATCACAGTTCACATTGTCACAATTCATTGCTGCAGGAATTAAGTGCATCCTGTACAACTCCACTGGGGGTAAACTTTTGGAAGGTTGGAAATTTTCTCTTGGTTTCCTCTGGACTTCACCCCACATGCTTTTTCCCTTTGCGGATTTTCCTTTGTACCCTTTCATAGTTATAAGTCATAGCTCAGTGTATGACTGTAAGGTCAATCCTATGAGCTGTCCTAGAAAATCACTGAACCTGGGCAGGGTCATGGGAACCCCTGGGGTATTAGTCAAAATAGTAGAGACAGAAGGCTAGGTGAGTTCAGAGAATGATCACTTCCATTTGGTGAAGACAGGATAACAACAGAGACAGTGTCTTGGAAGAGTGGTTTATAAACAGGTACTTGAAGATTGGCTGCGACTTGCTCAGCCTGCATGGCTCAGTGGTTGAGCATCAACCTATGAATCAGGAGGTCATGGTTCAATTCCAGGTCAGGGCACATGCCTGGGTTTTGGGCTTGATCCCCGGTGTGGGGCATGCACCAGGGCATGCAACTCATCATTGATGTTTCTATCTCTTCCTTCCTCTCTGAAATTTATTAAAAATATATTTTTTAAGAAAAAAAGAATGGATGTGACTTGATCTGGGAAAGTACATTTAAAGGGATATAAGTACAAGGCATGGAAGCTAGAAAGTATGGGCTACAAGGAGAAAGCTACCTAAAATAGTTTTAGGGGCCTTTGACATGGAACTTTTATAAAAGGATGCTTTCTCTTTAATCTAGTTATACAAGTGTTCTCTGGTTTGGAAACATAGAGATGGGTAAGAACCATCAAGATCCTTGAGACTTTTTTTAGTAAACATATATGAAGCTGAACATTGTTTTGGCTATTCAGGTCTGTGTAAACATGATCTTGCTGTTGTGAATATGAAATATCCAAGCATGGGATAAATAACAAAGTTGAATTGTTAGTGAACATTGAAAATTTTCTCCTTAGTCTTTACCTCTGAAACTTTTTACCATACATTGTTCAACTACAATTATACTTGAGTTTCATAGTCATGCCAACTTTTAATTTTGTATTAGTTTATATGTCGAGGTTTCTTTAGGACATATAAAACAGACTGTGGACCTTGTTTTGTTTTTTGTTTTCTTATTCTGATAAGATTTGTGTGCCTTGGATAAGTTAAAGTTGACTCAAAGCTACAGAGAAGCTATATAGAGTTAAAACAAAACAATGAATGTGCAATTGTCAAAATAACTTCAGTGTGAACATGGCAGCATTCATTTGTCCATCACTTACTAGTACTTTTTTTCTTTTTGAAAAGCTGCTTTTGATATTAGTTCTTGTTGCTTTTTAACACACATATATAACGCACAAATAGGTTCCTCAAGATGCAAAATTAGCCAAATTTGGACTTTCTTTTATTTCTTCTTGGTTGAGGGATCATTACATTCAACTAGCAACAGTATATTATGTATTTCACAAGAAAAACCTTTCAAAAGCAAACT